CCCGGTATATGGGGCCTGTGCCCTACTCCTTGAGCCACAGGCACCGCCCCAAGTTTTCACTTTAGTAGAGATTAAAGTTGTGTTTATCAGTTTGCAATTGTGAATGTGTCGTGTTCATACAATTTCATTTCTTCTACAATGCGTATACCTAGAGTAAAGCATTACATATACAAAGCTTGCCTAATGGGAATAATCGGGCTGTGCTCTTAGATTTTTATTGTTAGACTAGTAACTTCTTAGGTGTTTGAGACAGACTTTCTGGAAAACAGCTCTTTCCTCACCTAAAGCATGATCTATGTGCCTTGCCTTTTACCAGAAAGAGTATACTTTAATTGTTGAGAAAATAGTTAGCTTAAGAGTAAAAACTTGTACATAAATTTTAATTAATAGCAAAGCGTAGTTACTGTGTATTATACTCACGGGCCTAAACAGATATTAATTGCATGGCAACAGTTCTCAGATTGTGATGTAAAAAAGTTGATTCACTTGTAGAACTGCTTCAATCTTGGTTGCTTAGGTATAGTAGACAAAAGGACTATAAAATGAAGATTAACTATTTGAACTGTGAAAAATTAGTGTTAGATAATTGTTAAGCAAAGAACTTTAACTCCAAGCTGGCTTAATACTCTTATTCTGATTTATAGCTCAACTATGAAAACTGAATTCTAAGTACAATTTGAATATCTGAAGTTTAAACACCTACTATGTTTGACAGTTTTTAAGTCAAATCCTTTCAGAGTGAATGTTAGTGAAATTATCCTCTCTAGTGATTTTACATCATTTTATGAACCTGCCCAGTTTTCCTTTGAGGAATAATGAGTATGAGAAAAGGAAATAAAACTGTTTTGCTCAATTCAGGTCTCATTTTTTGTAATGTGGATTTCTTAGACTTCTAGTAAGGAATAGAAAAAATGGAATGTATTAAAATACACGGATTCTTACCCCACATCTTCTTTCTTCTCGTCTCTTTCCCATCTCCAAATTTCCCTAATTAGGGAAGTATCTTTCTATTTGAATTGATTTGTGAAAATAATGAGACCAAATTTCTGGGGTAGTGATTAAAGTTTCATTGTCCATGACCCAGCCTTTTAATGGTTCCGGGCCTTCCATGAGCAAATTTGCCCATTGTTTCCATCTGTTCTGTCTTTTAGCTTGTCATATAATAGGAGTTTTATGACTAGAATGCCTGTGCACCTGGGGTTTTGGATGTGCCTACCCAGCTTTAGTGTTTGATTTATATTTGAATCCATGTCTTTAGACATGAAAGGTTAGTGTGAAAGCATGCCTCTCTGCTGTCTCCATTTCATTGTAGCTGCTCTGCTTGATGCCTTTGGAATGTGCTTTAGTTCCTGTCAATTTGATTAAGAGGAGGCAAAGAGAAAGTAATGACTACTTGAACAATTCTTGTGGTCTGTGTGACGCAGATGGATTTGGGAATGTTGAGTAGAGAGGGTGTAGAGGTGAGTACTGCTGCAGTGGTGGTGTTTCAGACTTCATGAACCTCAAGAGTTCAGAGTGCCTGTGTGGGTTTGCTGTGGGTTCAGGTTCCAAACCTCAGATTTATTGCAATAGGAATGGATTTTTTAGTTTGTCTAGGAATAGATTCTTGAGATTAGCATCTTGCTAACCATTTCTGAGAGTCAGAGCTATGTTACCTAATATGATAGCCGCAAGTTGCATTTACATTTAGGTCAATTCTGCTGGGCTCATGCCAGTAATTCCAACACTTTGGGAAGCCAAGGCAGGAGGACTGAAGCCAAGGTCAGGAGTTTGAACCCAGACTGAGCAAGATTGAGACCCATCT